AAGTTTCACAAACATATTGAGCTAACTTAATCTTCAACATAATTCAGCTGACTTTAGTGGAGTTTCACGATGAATATATTTTCCTGTTGTATGTGATTTAACCCAACTGATTTCATATCAAAATCTCAAACAAAGCATTGAATTTTAAGTGATAGTTACATTCTGGATAGGGAAGGCAAATTTCTTCCTCTTTAGGTGATAGAGCACTTTTCCACACTTTGTTTTTTGTCAGAGTAGAGGGGGGTGACCTACACCTCTTCCATATAGGATTGTTTTTAATACTTGAATAAGAAGCCATGGACCCACGATGGTTGATGACTGGCCCAACCAGTTGTAAAAAAAAATATCCATTACAAAACCTAAAAATTATGCCAGATTGCCTCAAAAAACCCAAGATAATGGAAGAAATTGTGTTAAGGAGAGAAAAAAGTGCAAATTTTGGAGAAAGCACGGAGAAAACTAAGTAGAACTGTGTTTTTTATGTCAAAGATGACATCCTAGAAAATGTTAGCCAAAATATCATCCATACTATGTGCTAAATTAATAGCTAAGTTTGAACTGTGTTACATTTGTGGGGGTTTTTTCTGCTCGGGTCATAACAGAATGATTGATAAAGTGATTATAATAAAAAACTGTCAGCATGAGAAATTCTATTCCCCTTTTTACAAAATGTGCACCTGGTATGACAGTGGTTTCTGAGAAAATATATCAGACACTTTAAACTGGGTAACTAATTACAGAAAAGCTATGAGTAACCTGCTTTTCAGTCTTTCCCAGGACCTTTTATCACTTTTGCATGTGACCATTGGAGACGTAATGGACCTTCCTGTACTATATTGTCTCCTGGGTTATAAGAGAAATGATTTTCTTTTGTTCCATTTGGAGCTTTGTGGGCCCTGTCATCCCTTTAATCCAGAAGAAGAGACCCTTTTACCATTTTACACAAATTATTCATATACTTTTTCTGTTGTTTGGAGTATTTAGCTCTGCCCTTGTCCTTCTCTGCAATATCTCTGCCCTCTGCACCTTTGTGCACAGGTGATCATCCCATCTCTGTCCTTGCTGTGTGCATGTGAAAGGATCAGTTATATAACTGGAGTTCTTCATGATCATGCATAAAAGGCTGTACTTAGTGACATAACTTTCTCTTATTATATGCATACCACTTGTATTGCTAAGCAGTTTTGGACCTGGAGAAAAGCAGCCATGTTAAGTTACAGAAGATAAAAATATCTATTATAAAAACACTGTGATGTAATATTTTGTGTTCAGATGCCAGTGGCAGAGCACCTTTGGTGCCTGCTACTTTTAAGGGCTGAGTGCAGGCAGCAGGGCAGCCGGCAGGTGCAGGCCAGCCCTGATGAGGTGGCCACATGACTGCAGGAGGGCGAAGGGATTGGAGGAGAGGGCTGAGCAGCCTCTATTTTAGCTCAGACCATGGGGGCTGATCTAGCGGTTGCTGCAAACAGCTGGGGAAAGAGCACCGCTTGGCTGGAACTGGTCAGAACATCTTGGAGGTAAGGGCAGTAGCTATGGGGATGGCAGTAGGCTCCTGTTCCTGGGGCATGACCGAAAACTACACCCTGCTGGTGAAGGATGGCCTGGTGGGACTACCTGTGGTGGGGTTGTTCCTCAGAAATGGTAGGCTACTTGCCTCCCCAGTGAAAGGCAGGTGGGGCACCTTTATAATCCCAGCTCCCACTACCCAGTGGGTAATTTTAGAGCAGGGACAAGGCCAGGCATGTTTGTAGACACCTGTGCCCATAGGGTGTAAGACCCCAAGCCCCAGTTAGAGGTCACAAAAAGGTGCTGGTGAGGGAGTGGGAGTATGTAGAGAGGCCCACAGAGGGTAGGGTGCATAGTGGTGCCGGAAGGGCTATGCATGTGGGGTGTAGAGTAGGGTCTGCACAGGCAGGCCCAAAGGGCTGCACCAGGGGGTGTGTAGAATAGGGTTGCTCAGACAACCTGAAGGGCTACATGTGGGTCAACCCTCATAAGAGTGACAACATGAATAAGATGCCTGGAGAGCAGCTAGTGGATGAGTTCAGCCCAGCATAAGGCATAAGGCCAGTGGCTGCAGGGTCTGAAGGGCTGTGTGAGAGCCGCCTAGAGTGTGAGTAGGAAAGCATGAAGGGCTGTATAGAGTAGGGCCCAAGGGGGACCCGGAGGGGCTGCACGAATCCATGGCGGGTTGAGAGTGGCCCAGTGAGGGGCAGTATGAATGCGGTCTTGTGAAAGGTGGTGGAGTGTGAGAGTAGAATGCTAGAGGCCCAGCAAGGGGCAGAGTTTGACCTGGCCTCAGGTCAGAGCTGTTACTAATTGGCGATGCCATCTGTGAGGCATGGGATATGGTGTAGGGCAAGTTGGAGCGATG